CACCTCGGCCTCCCAGAGTGCTAGGACTACAGGCATAAGCCACTGCGCCCAGCCTAGTTTGTTTTGTTTTTAGTTAGAGTGGGAGTGTTATGTCACTCTGTCACCCAGGCTGGAGTGCAGTGGTGATCATAGCTCACTGAAGCCTCGACCTCCTGAGCTTAAGCATCCTCCCACCACAGCCTCCCAGGTACCTGGGACCACAGAGTGTGCCACCATGCCCTGCTAACTTTTGTTTTGTTTTGCAGAGATGGAGTCTTGCTATGTTGCCCAGGCTGGTCTCGAATTCCTGGCCTCAATCTATCCTCCTGCCTTGGCCTCCCAAAATGCTGGGATTACAGGTGTGAGCCACCATATCTGGCCAAACCCCCAGTTTTTTAAGAAGTCCTGAGACACTGAAGGAAAGGAAAAAGGGAATGATTCATTTTAAAAAACTATTAATACTTCTTAAAAAGAATTTACCCTCGACCTGAATAAAAAGCTACTCAGAGTAGAAATAAACAGCAAGCTCAGCAGAAGCCTGTCGATCCTCAGAAGCACCGGGTCAGACATTCATCCCTCACGGGTACCTTTTGGTACCTGCAGGCAGGTGCAGTACACACGTGCGTGGTGGCTAAACTCCCCTGCAGTCAGCTGGGAATGGGTAGGTGAACCAGCGGGGAATGAAGTCATCCTCTTTCAGCCTTAAAAACAGAAACTGGATGAGGAGCTTGGAGAACCTTGGCAGCTGAGTTATTCCATTCTCAGGAATAAGATAGGGCATTGATAACAAGGGTACCACGTCTGGAAGGCCCTGTGATAAAAAGAGAGGGTCCTCATAGAAGAGAAGGTGCTCAGAGTCCATTCTAACAGGCCGCTCTCTTGGGAGGTCCATTACGTCCCAGACACCACGATAAGGGCTTCATATATATTCCCTAATGTATTTCTCACACCTCGACAGGCAACATTGCTGTCTCCAAAACACAAATGCAGAAACAGATCCGGGGAGCTGAAGTTGCTCAGGGTCAGGCAAAGGTAGGACTGACTCAGAGCCGCACTGAGAGCTCTTCCCTCCACCATGTGCTTCCTCTCTCAGAAGGAATGGTCTGAAAAGACCAACCCCGAATGACGCCCAGCAGAGCCCAGACGCTGGGTCCAGGAGGATGGCTTGGGAAATGCTGTGTGCTCGTTTGGAGAAATAACTCTATGTTCAGTCAAGAGGAGTCGCTTTGGGACTTCACAGAGTCCCAAACCCAATAAGAAGGTGACATCCCTGCTGTTATCCAACTGGAGATTAGTGGGGGAAGACGTGCAGTGGCTCTCTGGAGAGGGAGGCATCATCCCCTGGTGCCCGAGGTCATTTCGGTATTCACAGAGACCCTTTCCGAAACCCGAAACTGGACCCCTTCCTTACACTTTATACAAAAATTAGATGAATTAAAGATTTAAACATGAGGCCTAACACCATAAAAACTCTAAAAGAAAACCTAGGCAGTACCATTCAGGACATAGGCATGGACAAGGACTTCATGACTAAAACACCAAAAGCAATGGCAACAAAAGCCAAACTAGACAAATGGGATTTAATTAAACTTAAGAGCTTCTGCACAGCAAAAGAAACTATCAATAGAGTGAACCGGCAACCAACAGAATGGGAAAAAAAAACTTCGCAATCTACCCATCTGACAAAGAGCTACTATCCAGAATCTACAGAGAACTTAACCAAATTTACAAGGAAAAAACAACCCCATCAAAAAGTGGGCAAAAGATATGAGCAGACACTTTTCAAAAGAAGACATTTATGCAGCCAACAAACATATGAAAAAAAGCTCGTCATCCCTGGTCATTAGAGAAATATGAATCAAAACTACATTGAGGTACCACCTCCCGCCAGTTAGAATGGCGGTCATTAAAAAATCAGGAGACAACAGATGTAGAGAAATAGGAACACTTTTACTCTGTTGGTGGGAGTGTAAATTAGTTCAACCATTGTGGAAGACAGTGTGGTGATTGCCGAGGATCTAGAAACAGAAATACCATTTGACCCAGCAATCCCATTACAGGGTATATACCCAAATGAGTATAAGTCATTCTATTATAAAGACACACGTACACGTATGTTTATTGCAACACTGTTCACAATAGCAAAGACTTGGAACCAACCCAAATGCCCACCAATGATAGATTGGATAAAGAAAATGTGGCACATATACACCATGGAATACTATGCAGCCATAAAAAGGATGAGTCCATGTCCTTTGCAGGGACATGGATGAAACTGGAAACCATCATTCTCAGCAAACTGACACAAGAACAGAAAACCAACCACCACCATGTTCTCACTCATAAGTGGGTGTTGAACAATGAGAACACACGGACACAGGGAGGGGAACATCACACAGGGAGGGGCCTGTCAGAGGGTGGTGGGGGCTGGGAGAGGAACAGCAGGGGGTGGGGGGATTGGGGAGGGATAGCATTAGGAGAAATACCTAATGTAGATGATGGGGCGGTGGATGCAGCACACCACCATGGCACATTTATACTGTGTAACCTGCACGATCTGCACTTGTACCCCAGAACTTAAAAGAAAAAGGGGAGGGGCCAGGCACGGTGGCTCACGCCTGTAATCCCAGCACTTTGGGAGGTAGAGGCAGGTGGATCATGACGTTAGGAGTTCAAGACCAGCCTTGCAAAGATGGCGAAACCCCATTTCTACAAAAAAAAGAAATTAGCTGGGCACAGTGGTGGGCACAGTGGCAGGCACCTGTAATCCCAGCTACTCGGGAAGGTGGGATATATATAAACAAACAGGCAAGAAAAAAAGATGCAGAGGCTGGCGCAAAAAAAAAAAAAAAACAGAAATGAGATGCTCTTGGCTGAGGAAGCAGCTTGTGACAAGTATCAAGCCACGTGTTTTGAATGCTTTTCAGTAAAGTTCCCCACAGAAGCCTTGATTCAAGAGGGACTCTACCGGTGCCCTAAGGAAGGACCTCTCCACTCTGGCTCCTACACATGAGAGACCAGCTACAATACGGAAGATAAAGTTGAGACATGCTGGGAAGCAGGGACTGCTGTTACCTTATTAGAGGATCTGCTGTGGGGTCCCTTTAAATATAGTGAGCTCTGGTGAGTTTTTCAGTTGTTTTCAGTCAGGGGTCCCCAGCCCAGGGCCCCAGGCCAGTATGGGTGCATGCCCTGTTAGGAACCTGGCCACCGGAGGAGGTGAGCAGCAGCCAATGAGCATGACCGCCGGAGCTCCGCCTCCTGTCAGATCCCCAGAACCCTACTGTGAGCTGCGCATGTGAGGGATCTAGTTTGCCCCCTCCTTAAGAGAATCCAATGCCTGATGGTCTGTCACTGTCTCCCAGCACCCCCAGAAGGGACTGTATAGTTGCAGGAAAACAAGCTCAGGGCTCCCACTGATTCCACATTTCCATGAGTTGTAGAATTATTATATATTACAATGTAATAATAATACAAAATGCACAATAAATGTAATGTGCTTGAATCATCCCAAAACTATTCCCTGCCTCCAGCCTTGGTCTGTGGAAAAATTGTCTTCCACAAAACCTGTCCCTGCTGCCAGAAAGGTTGGGGACCGCTGCTTTAAGTGACAAGGCACAGAGCCACGGTGCGATTCCACCCAAATTTGCCAAAACACACCTTCTGCCTGAGCCACGTACTTGGATCAAAAGTGGGATCTTGGCTTGTTCCAAAACCTTTGCTCCTCCTCTTAAGGATCAAAAGACCAATTTCAAAGGGAAAGGGGTCTGTTAAACACTCGGAGACACTCCTCCCTGAGGCTCTTACCGGGCACTTGCAGCCTCGCCCTCCAGGCCACCCTCAGGCTGAAAGCAAAGGGTTTATCTCACCACATGGAAATACTGCCTCCGCTGCGTGGAGACTGGACAACCAGGGCCTTTTCGGACCCTAGGCCGTGATCAATATCACTATCACTTTACCTTCTGTGCCCAGCTTGCAGATACCTAATTTCTCTCAGGCCTGGAGCTAACATCATGTTTCTGGCTGCTCAAAGCTCTGGCTCCTTTTATTGCACAGTAAAGGAAGGTAACAGGCGAGAGGTCTGCTGTAGACATTTATTGCATCATCTGTTGCACCAACAGCACATTGTATTTCACAGAAGACTGGCCACAGGCAAAATAAAATAACGCACCACAGAGCTGCTCCTGGGGGCCGCCTTTGCTCCTTAGTCATCCTTAGTCATCCAGCGTTCACTTTGGCAAACAGCGGTTTACAGACTTTTGTTGCAAATCTAAGGTTCCATTTCTCTCTAGCATTCGGGCTAGGGAGACAGGATTGTACTTTGGTAGTTGTCTGAGGTGGAGTTTTCCCACATGTAGACATTTCACTATACAAGTGGGTGTCTGATTAAAGAACTCACAGTGCCACTACCCTTGAAGAGTATACAGTGTAAACAGGAGGCGAACACCGTCATCCAGGCAGGCTGAGAGGAGGAGGGAAAGGGGCTCCAAGGAGCCTGGGCAGCCCCTGCTGGGGAGGGGCCTGAACTATAACCACCTGCTCCCAGAAATGACATGGCCTGAGGCAGGACTGGCAGCAAAAGCCAACTCCCGGAAATCTGAGCATTAGAGGAGGCTGACCCATATCTCTAAGGCGGCATCGGGGAGGAAAGGGAGAGTCGCCATCAGGTCTGGAACTGTTACCAGCTTCTTCACTGAAGCAAACTGTGTCTGTCTCAAGCTAAGCCATGCTCCTCAAACCCCCAAAAAACAAGGAAAACAAGGAGAGAAGTCACCAGATCCAAGACGCACACGATCAATGTTCTAATCACGCTATCTCCAGGCCGAAGCCAAACAGTGACTCAGCTAACAGCACGACACTCACACAGAACACAAGAGGCTGGGGGGTCTGCAGACCAGTCTAGTTCTGACTCCATCCTGACTTCCTGGAAAGATGGGCACCAAGTCAGAGGGAGAAGGCTCGTCCTCCAGAACAGAGGCAGCAACTCCAGCAGCCCAGGGGCTCCAGCCACAGCCAGCAGCAGTGGTTTTTCATTTAAAAAATGCTAAGCTTTGTGCCCTCCGCCTCCCAGCCTGAGCAAAGCCTGGGTGAGCCTGGGAGAAGAAACCAGGGCTGAGCTGTGAGGTCAGGGGAGGGGTGCTGCAGGGAGGGAGCCCCAGCAGAAAGGGGCTGTAGGGTGCCTCCCACCTTTGCCCCCCATGTCTGGATCAGCCTGAGAGGAAGCTGCCCACATCTGCGAAGGGAACGTTTGTCTGAAGTCATGGGCTTCCACCCCCTCTCCCAGCAAAGCTGTCCTGAATAAAGGGTTAAAGAATAGGAGGGTCAGGACTGCAGCTGGACCAGGGCCTCATCTCAGCCTCCGCGGGCCTGGCCCGCCCCTCTCCTGGGAACCTTGCTCTCAACACCAACATACTTGACACATCATGTCACTTGCTCCTCTGCCAAAGACTGGGCCCATCTGAGCCACGTGTTACTCGGGCTGGAGGGGCTCCTGGTTTGCACTCAGAAGCCGTCATGGCCTTTCCAGGCCCGTCCCTGAGGCCCCCCCAGTTTCCCGTGGCCTTGCCCCAGGCATCTGCTGCCCGGAGGGTGGGGCCCTCTCGCTGGCTCCTCTAAAGATCTGTGCTCTGCGACCAGGACTGACCAAAGCCTTTGCACTGAAGGGGACAATAGAGACGCGGGAGCTATAGCAGCGGAGAAAGGGAGAAGCAGAGGTGGCGGAGCCCCACCCCAGAAAGCAGCACTCAAACAGACGCAGCTGCACGCACTCGCGCACTCGCCCGCCCTCCGCTGGAGCCTGCAGCCCTGAAGACACCCTGCGGACCCCCAGGGCCTGCTGGGCGCATCACTGGGAGCTGGGGCTGTCTCCCTCCGTCAGCGTCTTGAAGTCCATGGAGAGGGCCTGCTCCTCCGCCTGGGAGGGCCGCTTCCAGTCGGGCCGGGTCAAGATGTAGAGCACCACACCCCCGAAGCAGGCCAGCAGCAGGCCCAGCACGTTGGCCAGGACGCCCTCGGGCTCAAACAAGCTGTACTTGGCCCTGCAGGGGTGAGAGGAAGGGAGGAGCTGCCCGAGGGGTCACAGGCCAAATGCCCTTCGTATTCTGGGCCTTAAAGATGGCACGGGGATGCCAGCACCAGCCCCTGCCTCCCTACTCTGCCCAACAGAAAGACCACCCCCCCCAACCAGCAATCTCCAGCTACTGCTCAGACAGAAAATGATGGGGAATGTAAAAATCTAGATCATTCTTCCAGTTCTAAGCAGTTGTGCCGCAGATCCTGCTGCGCGATGGGAATGAATAGGGTGCCCATAGTCCCGAAGTTGCTCTGAAAAGATAAAGCCAACCAAAGCCAGGCCCCAGGCCCCCGGCCCCCAGATCTTAGCAAGCGTAACTACAGGCGCCAGTTGTCTGAGTCCACGCGAGGCGGCGCAGGAAGCCACGGCTGGGAAGCAGAGGGCAGGGTGAGCTCTGAGCCGGGCTGGCTCGGGCCCTGCCCCCTCCCGCCCCGGACACTCACCCGAGCTTGAACAGCAGGGCCTCCTTCAGGCCCAGCAGGGCGGTGCCCACGGAGAGGAGGAAGATGGTGGCGCCAAAGAAGACGTGTGACGCGCGGTAGCGGCTCCTCAGGGAAAACGAGGCTCCAGGGAAGAGGAAGAAGCTGAAGCCCACCAGCCACTAGGAGGAAAGGAGGGCGGTTCCGGGACGCGGCGGCGGCCAACCCGAGCAGCCGAGGTCAGCCCAGGCACACGCCGACGCGCCCGTGAGCCCGTGCGCCCACGCGCCCACGTGGCGACTGCTAGCCCCTCAGCCCCGCCTGGTTTCCTCCCTCCTCAGCACGGGGGTGGGAGGGGCACGACCCCAACGCTTGAGGCCTTAGCACACTTGCAGACTCGGAAAGCTGGGCTTGTGAGCCGCAGGGCGCCTGGGAGCTGGGCACTCTTGGCCTCCAATCCTAGCCTTGCACGCACCCAGGCCTGGGAAGGCAGCGTCCGGCTGTGCTAAGGCAGCTCTCTCCTCTGCACGCACCCCAGGGAACAGGCCCTTCCATCAAGCACATTCGACCCAGCTCCCCTCCCCTCCCACCTCCCTGGGAGGTGGCCCAGGCCCCAGGTGCTGGAAGGACTCACCTGCACGAAGTACAGGACAAAGACCAGGATCCCACACCAGCTGTGCAGGCTGTACAGGTCAGCGTAGCCCTTCTTCCTGTGGTAGTCGAACACCGCCACCAAGCCTGGGCCAGAGACAGGCCACAGGAGGACAGGGTTGGATGTGGAAAAAGGAGGGGGTGAGATGACCCAAGGGAACCGGTTAGTGGGGACTTCTGCGCTTTAGTCCCAGCTCGATGGCTGCCAGCACCCAGCAGCCCTGCAGGGAATGTTTGGAGTGGGGCGGGCCCATCACAGCTCTGGGGACGGAACAGAGCAGATGGGGCGGGCATTTGCAACGCCTGAAGAGGCAGGCAGGGGCAGGAAGGCTGCACCCGAGAACTCACCAACCAGGGCGATGATGAGCGCAAAGACGTGCAGCAGCCCGTGCAGGACCTTGGTGGTGCGTTTGGCTTCATTCCTGAAGACACGGTAAACCAGCAGGGCTATGGCAGACGAGAGCAGGAACATGAGTGCACCCGCCTGCAGTGAGGCCTCCTGCCCAGCAGCAAGGAGACCCCTTGGTGCAGAGGCAATGTGAGCTGTCCTCTTGTCACCGGAGCCCAGCTGCAGGAACCGAGGACAAAGCCAGCCTCCCCCAGGGACCCTGGGCATGTCCTGGCCTTCTCCCAGAGCACTAGGGCTGTGTGCAGCCTAACACCCCTCCCCGACCCTCCAACCTCCCCAAGCTGTGCACACTCAAAGAGGGCAGGGCGGGAGGCCTGTCCGATCACCAGGAGAGGCAGCAAAGGCAGGGCCTTTGCCCTCGCCCCCACCTGAAGGAACTACCCGGCCCAGCAGACGCTCCGCCCCACCTGCCTTCTTGTCAGGTGTCCTGCATATTCCAGGCCATGTTTGGTGTTCACTGTTGGTCATACTGAGGAAACCAGTAGCCACTGAGTTCACCTGTTAGCCACGTGGCTCCTCATGTGGCCCCACTGCAGCCTGGGCAGATGGTCCTATGCTTAGCAAGCAGTCCCCCTTCCAGGCAGAACCTTATGATCCGAGCCTGACCTCCCACATCCAGAAGAGGTGGGCAAGGCTAGGTCACGTGAGGAATGCCTCTGAGCTTTCTGCTGCTCAGGGTGGCTGTCACCAGGACTGCCTCAACCGGATGTAGATCCCACTTCCTGGATCTCTGGCCCGGAGGCAGGTGGAGGCCACGCACCACCTGGCTCCTGTCCCAGAGGGAGGCACTCTAGCTCTGCCAAGTCTAAGACACGTGCGCATGCATGCACACACACTCTCTCGCATATGCCTATTTTTTCCCTCAATTCAAACCACCCCTGCAGCACAGCCTGGCTCGGGGCCCCACCCCTTTCCCTCTGCTCCACGAAGTCCCCATCTTGGATGTTCTGTGTGGAAACAGGAGGTGCCAATGCCGGGCCAGGCTGGACAGGAGCTGCCACCCACCAGCCTCCATCTCCCCAGGCTCTGAGCCAGCTTCCATCTCTGTCTTTGTTAGAATCTTAGATTTGTCCAACCGGAAGAGACTGCAGGGGTGACAGGACCCCTGCAAACTGCCTCTCAGGGACCCCCACAAGCCCGGGCAGATAGGAGCAGCTATTGGACTCACCATCTCCCTGCAGGAAGATCAGGCCTATGGCCATGCAGAGCGGGTGCACATTGAACTGCAGGTTGCTCTCCCAGGCAATGCCGCCTCGGTACAGACCAAGCCAAGCACCAGTCATGGCCACCAAGGTCAGGCCCAGCAGCTGGGAGAAGGCCACGTAGTAAGGCAGCGCTGCAGGGGTGGATGCGGTGGCCCTCCCCTCCATGCTGAGGCCAAGGCTGCAAGGAAAAAGCAGAGCTCAGAGGAGCAGCGCGGAGCCCCCTGAGATGCACAAAGCTGTCCCAGATGCACACAGGCTCCCCAAGATAAGCATGGACCCCCCCAGATGTGCATGTCCCCTGAAATGTACACGCCACCCCAAGATGTGCGTGGCCGCCCCAGATGGCGCACAGCCACCCCCGAGGTGCACAGTCCCCCCAGATACGCACAGACATCCAAGATGCACGGCCCCTCGAAATGCACACAGCCACCCCCACTAGATGTGCACAGCAGCCCCTAGGGTTGTACATAGTCCCCCCAGATGCACACAGCACCCCTAGAGATGCACATGTCACCCCAACAGATGCACACGCACACCCCGCCACCAAGATGTGGCCCCGATACCCTCCACTGAGGCTCCCAAGGGAAGCAGCCCTCATTCTCCCACCCACAAGCCCCTTCCCACCCATCATCCTGGAGCAGAGGTCCCAAGTCTCAGGAATGACTGGGGGGCAGCCTCCCCACAGGAACAGGCGAGACCTGGGACGTGACACCAGGAGTTCCACACGCGGTGAGGATGCAAGGCAAGATACCCCAAATTCTGGTGAGCACAAGGGCCCAGTGCCTGGCTCTCTTTTCTGTTTCGAGAGGCCCTGGCTTTCCTCAGGTGGGCTTTGCAAGTGAGTTACACAGGTGAGCACACTCCTTGAAGGGATGGGGCTGGTCACACCTTTTCTCCAGACACATCATGAAGTACATCTCGGGGAGAAATGGGAAGTCTCTCTCCCCAGCCTGGTTTTTGACTCCACACTGGCGATGAGGCCCCCCCACCCCACACCCAGGAAAGCCAGCCCAGCTTCCATGGCCCACCCGCCCCCCCCCCCCACCTCGCAGCACCTGCAGAAAAGAAGTGCCTGGACCCAGCTGCACACAGGGACCTGTCAGCACACAGGAACACTGCACTTCCCCTCCATAGCTGGGGCAGGTGGACCCGCACTCTAGAACGGTCCTCAGGTGAGGTTCCAAAACTGAAGGTCCCCAGAGCTGAGGCCTGCGAGAGGGCCGGGTAGAGCTCAGCACGGCTGTGGAGGCACTCAGCCCCACGTGACCCTCCGGGGAGAACAGAGAGCAGGTGGTTCCTAGGGACGTAGGAATGAGAAGGCCACAGTAGGAGCCCACGGGAGTGCCCAGTGCCTGCACAGCCTCGTGCCAGACAGGAGAGCGCCCGCAGCTGGGGATGGGAGGAGAGGCAGCAGGAGGAGAACAATCGTGCCCTCGCCTGCTCTCCCTTCACCCAGTGGCAGCAGCAGCCCTTGCGCCATGGAAAAGTGCTGCCATGGCCCTCCACTGCCACTGTGACTGCTGCACCATGGTCACCACCATGGCCACCACAAGCAGACACTGGAGCACCGCTGCTGCCCCCACCACACCCCGGATGGTTGTCCACTGGCCCCTCGCCATGGTCCAGCCTCTCCTGGCAGCAACTGTATCAGAACTAGGAAGACAGTGGCCAGCACAAGGGCACTGACCCCTTTCACACCCGCCACACACTGCCCTGCAGCGCCCAGGAGCTGGTTTTCAGTCCCTCCCAGGGATGGGCTCCTTCTCTGCTGCCCAGTTCTCTCTGCCACGTCGGACAACTGTTGGCAACTCCACCATTAAAAGCGGGATATGTGTTGGCCAGGCTCGGTGGCTCACACCTGTAATCCCAGCACTTAAGGAGGCCAAGGTGAGTGGATCACATGAGACCAGGAGTTCAAGACCAGCTGCAACACGGTGAAATCCCATCTCTACTAAAAATACAAAAATTAGCAAGGACATGGTGGTGCACACCTGTAATCCCAGCTACTTGGGACGCTGGGGCAAGAGAATCACTTGAACCCAGGAGGCAGAGTTTGCAGTGGACCAAGTTCATGCCACTGCATTCCAACCCGGGTGATAGAGTGAGACTCTGTCTCAAAAAAAATTTTTTTAATTAAAAAGGGGGGAAGGTGTGTTAATAATTTACACACACTGCAGCAGAATATGGATCAGGAAAAAAGGTAAAATGGCAGGCCATCAGCATTTGCTCTGTATCCTCACACACCTTCCCAAAAACACACACGCATCCTCTAATAGAAGCAGGATCGTGCTGTTTTCTAACCTGCTTTTTCACTAAGGGCGTAGCGCGCATGGTTTGTGTCACTGAGCATGCAGCAGCATCATTCTCACGCTCTTACACTGCATGGCCACTTTTTAGCCAACGAGTCCCCACTGTTCAGTATTTAGCTAGCTGTCAGTTTTCCACCAAATAAGCAACAGGATGTGGTCATCTTTGCAAACTCCTCTGCAGGGAATCCTGAGACAAGGGCTAGGTTCTGTTTTAGATTTCCGACACATTCCGTCAAATCATCTCCCAGAAACGCAGCCCCAGGGTGGACAGGAATACAGGATTCCAGAAGCCCCAGCCGACAATAAATCCTATTTCTGGAATTCCTGCCGCTTTCCTTATCTGTCACCTACATAGGTATCAGTTCTGTCCCCGCAACCCCAAATTCAAGCCCCATTTCTGTCTGTTCACTACTCATGTCTTCTCATCTCTGGACATCCCACAGATGCTTCAAACCCAGCCCTTCCCTAGTCACCTCCTCTCCCATTGTCACCAAGTCCTCTCACGCCTTCCCCACTCTAGTGGGACTGCCCTTCTTCCGGGCCCAGGTGACACCTCGGCTCCTCTGCCCAGGCTGCCCAGGCCACCACATGCTGGGCCCTCCCCTCACTTCCCTCCCGACCATCCTCATGCCACACCCAAGTCAGGGCCTGCAGCCTCTCCCTCTTCAACATGACAGACACTCCAGGGACTAAGCCAGCTCCCGAGGTCGTGGTGTCCCCTCCGCAAGAGGCCCCGAGTGCCAGTGAAATGCCAACTTCGTGGCACGATCCTGCCCGTTTCCATCTACAGCCTCCACTATTCCCATGGCCAAGGACATGGCCCAGCCTGGCTCCCTGCTGCAGGCCCCACACCCCTCCCTCCACTCCCCAGGCACCTTGCAGGCAGGTCACTCTGTCCCCAGGCTCTCCCGGAGCCTCCTTACCCTGTTGCTTCTGTCTAGGTTAATCTCCAGGTGCCCTGTCCACTCCTGGAAGGCAGGGACACTCTTGATCCTCCTTGGGAATTCTTGGGTCTCCAACTCCCCAAGTCTAACGGGAAAATGTACTGAAAGAAGAGCTGTCCCCCCAGTCACTTGTCATCTGTCTTCTCCAGGCCACCGCTTCCTTTATTAGATTCATCCCCAGAGAGCCCAGCTGCAGGCAGAATCTGATTAGCTTCTATTAGGAAGAACAGAGGGGACATCACCCCTCCCTCCGCCGGGCGACCCAATAACCTCCCCATGCCTCGTGGAGTACAAAGGGCAGGAGAGCCCAGCAGAACAAGGTGCCACTGCCCATTCCCTCCTTCCCACCAGGCTCCCGGGGGACAGGCAGACACCAGGGCCAGGATCTCTTCTCGGAGGGGCAACTGCCTATGCTGAAATGCCCGCCTGGCCTCCTGGGGAGTCATAACCCTGAGTCAGTCTGCTTCCGCTGTGTCCTGGTGGACACGTGCTTGGTGTGTCAGGAGGGTGGGGACCCAACAGCCTGTGAGCCCCTGCTCTGTGCTGGGTGCTTCACGCCCTCTCTCTCACGTCGCCCTTAAATGACACTGCAGCTAACAGGAGCACTGACCCAACTTGACCCACCAGAAAGTGGGGGCTCAACAAAGACAAGAGACATGCCCCCAAATTCCCATCAGCAAATAGCAGCTCAACTCAACCCGCACGCACCCGCACTCGGCCAGGTGCTGCAGCCACACAGAGGGGGCCTGGTCCCTGCCCTCAAGGGGCTTGCAGATAAGCTTCTGTGCAATGCAAATTTTCAGGTCAGGGTGGTACAAGTTTGAGCCAAGAGCTGATTCGGGCCTCCAAGACCCGTCCTAATGCACACACGGAAGATGGCACCACTGCTTTTACGTCTGTGGGCGGCAGCGTCTCCAGCTCTCGGGCCAAGCAGTGGCTGCCTGCTGCTGCTGTGGCTTTGGCCTTTCCAAGACCCAGGAACTAGGGTGGTGCCATCAGGCTTTCCAGAGACTGAAGCCAGCCAGGGTCTGTGTCGGTGCTCACTGGGGAAGCTGCCTGGATGCAGGGCTCCCAGGTGGTGGTCCCCCTCCTGTGCCAGTCCTCCCTGCCTCGGTTCCACCATGGCACTAAGCACTGGTAGGTACGTGCAGACAGAGGGTCCCCACCACAGGCAAGAGGGAAGGGGTTCAAGGAAGGCCAACAAGCCGAGGGAGCTGCATTTCCATTTGCTCCAAAGGTGGTTGGTTGTCCTGGCTCCCCTCCTTGCACTCGCAAGGCCATTCATTCGACGTAATTGATAACCCATTTGTGTGGGAGGAGGGGCCGTGTCCCATGCCAGGGGTGGGAGTAGACATTCCAATGTCTCTGGAAAGAATTGGACCCACCCACAAACGTGTCTGCTGCATTTGCAAACCTGGACCTTGGGTGAGATTTACTCCCAAGGAAGCAAGGGCCTTTGAACCATGGCCCTCCTTTCCCAGTCTTGACAGCGAGAATCCTCTCTCGCCCTTCCCTCCTCACTGGGCGGCCCTGGGACTCTGGCTGTTCTTGGCCCCGCTGGGTTCTCAGAGCAGAACTGTGGGCAGCAGCTTCAAGGCGTAGAAGCAGCCACTCCCCACCCCCAAGGGCTCTGCTGCTCAGCAGACAAGAGCCTGGCGACCAGAGGGAGTGCACGTAGCCCTCACAGTCGCTTGGCTTCCTCTGTAAGAGCTCAGGATGAGGGTGACTGATCTCTGGCAGTTTCTGGAACTGCGAGCTGTGAGAGGCACCCTCCTCCCCACCCACTCCCACCACCTGCAGTGAGAGTCCACCTAATGCAATCAGCGCGTTAAGGACAGCAGGACCCGCAAGGCTTAGCTGAGCATCACTCTCCCTCCCTGCATCCACTGCATTTTATTAAAAGGCAACCAGGACTAATCTCATTATTGGGGACCAGACACTGCACATGGTGCACAGCCTAGGGGGTGGAAGGCGGAGCAGGGAGGCTGGGAAGCGGGCGGCCTGAGCTGGCTGCAGCCCTCCTTATCAACAGCAGGGTTTGAATTGAGTTAGGAAAGATTGTGACTGAGGAAGGGACGACATCACTTCTTGATGGGTGGAGGGGAAAACAGCTCAATTGCCCCAGAACATCCTAGCATGTGATGAAGGAGAAGGCAAAGTGTGGTGTGAGCTGTTAGGGTACTTTCTTAGCACCCCAGTTGCCCCAGAAAGAAGGGGCTTCCCGGGCAGTGCTCCCCCTTCCATGCCAGTCCTCCTGTGTCCTCCCTCCTCAGTACCAGCATGGCACTAAGCACAGGTGCCCTCAGAGACAACAGGCCCGGACAGGAGGACAGGGTAAGAGAGAAGGCGTTACAGGAAAGGGCAAACAAGCTGAGAGAGCTGCATTTCCACTTGCTCCCACGGTGGCTGTCCTGGCCCATGCAGCCCAGAGACCGAGGGCATCCAGACTGCTTGGACCAGGCACCAAGGAACCAGGTACCCGGGAAGCAGCAGAGCTTGAAGTCAAAGTCAAACACTGAGCTCCTTTCTCCCACCAGACAGGGGACTCCCAATGCTTACGAACAAAAATGTTTCCATTTCCATGAAAATCACAAGAAAAAATGAACATTTAGGGTTGAGGAAAATGTTGCAATTTTTTTTTTTTTTGAGACAGTCTCACTCACTCTGTTGCCCAGGCTGGAGTGGCATGATATGGGCTCACTGCAACCTCCGCCTCCTAGGTTCAAGCAATTCTCCTGCCTCAGTCTCCCAAAAAGCTGGGACTACAGATGTGCATCACCACACCTGGCTAATTTTGTCTTTTTAGTAGAGACAGGGTTTCACCATGTTGGCCAGGCTGGTCTTGAACTCCTGACCTCAGGTGATCCACCTGCCTCAGCCTCCCAAAGTGATTTTTTTAAACTTATTTCAATTATTATATATATATATATATATATATATATTTTTTTTTTTTTTTTTGAGACAATGTCTAACTCTGTCACCCAGGCTGGAGTACACTGGCATGATCATAGCTCACTGCAGCCTCGGACTCCTGGGCTACAGGATCCTTCCATCTCAGCCTCCCAAGTAGCTATAACTATGAGTATGCTAAAATGCCCAGTTAAAATATATATATATATATATATATGTACATTTTTTTTTTTTCTGAGAGATAGGGTTTCACTATGTTTTGTAGGCCAGTGTCAAACTCCTGGTCTCAAGCAGTCCTCCAGCCTTGGCCTCCAAAAGCGCTGGGATTACAGACAGACATAAGCCAGCCCTAAAATGTTTGGTTTTGTTTTTTATTGTAACCCAGTCTGGATTATACTTGCCTTTATACCAATGCAGTTGTAAAATATAATTTTTATTTTTATTTTTATTTTTTTTAAGACAGAGTCTCACTCTGTCGCCCAGGCTGGTGTGCAGTGGCATGATCTCGGCTCACTGCAACCTCTACCTCCTGGGTTCAAGCAATTCTCCTGCCTCAGCCTCCTGAGTAGCTGGGACTACAGGCTCATGCCACCATGCCCAGCTGTTTTGTATTTTTAGTACAGACAGGGTTTCACCATATTGGAAGGGTTGGTCTCAAACTCCTGACTTTGTGATCCAACCGCCTCAGCCTCCCAAAGTGCTGGGATTACAGGCGTGAACCACGGTGCTCGGCCCTGAATTTGTATTGTATTTTTATGGAAGAAGGCGCCTCTGAAGACCAGAAGGGCAATGGCTCATGAAAGGCCCCTTGCAGCCCAGGTTCAAGAGATGTGATTTCAAAGCAGGCTCACTATTTATAACCATCAGCTCCTGGACAAGCCAAGTCCCTTCTCCAAGCCTGCTTCCTAATCTATAAAGTGGGAGGATATCTGGATCTACCTTACTGACCACAGAAAGAGTTAGTGGATAAACGTTTTAGTGTCCAGCACAGTGTCTGCCATGCAGTCAGCACTCCATCAAAGAGCAATCTCACAAACACGAAATCTGTCCTAAGAGCACCTCAGGAGAATCGCACTGAGGACACAGGAGGTTTGGGGCCACAGAGAGCCAGATGGCAGCCGACACTAATAAATCCACACTCCCTTTCTGTCCACCATCAGCCCCCCACACCAAGCAGAAACTCCTGGGGCTGGGAAGAATGCAGGAGGGTCTGCTTTTAATCTGTGATATTTTATATTCCTAAAATTCATTTATGAATTGCTCAGGCAGTAGAGTACTTTTTCCCAGTGAAACTATGCTTTTAGAGGCGGTTAATTTCTCATTCCCCTTCACCAATGCCATCTAATGCCACTGAACCACCTGGTATTAACATGAGCCCAAGCTCTGCCTACCAAGGGAAGGTGGTGGGGACAGTAAAGTGGTAGGACAAGGCTGGGTGTGGTGGCTCACGTCTGTAATCCTAGCACTTTGGGAGGCCAAGGCAGGCTGATCACTTGAGGTC